AATAACCGGCTATTTTTAAGGCTGACATTCCCCATTCTTTGGTGTGAAAATAGGATTGACTCTTATAAAACATCAGCTTCTTTTATAAAAACACCAGCTTCTCTATACCAATGGAAATAACAGGACAGAATTCATGGTTTACAAGTGGTATGATTTTGTACCTTGTTTTTATAAATCCTAGCAGTTTTACTGGTTTGACATTTAAATTAAAATGGAATTAAAACCAAAGAATTTCTAAAAAGAAGTCCCTTAATATTCTACATAGTTTGTATCTTCTACCACCAGTACACTTCATGATTCTTTTTAAAATACCACTAATATATACATATTTAAGTTCTGCTTAATTAAAATTACTCATTCAAATTAAAGACTTTTCCTATGAACTCTAATGCTTTCAAAGTATAAAATTTTTAACTAGCTGATACTTTCCTCAAACAGAATCTTGAATCTGGTAGGATTGAACTTATAACAAAAAGGCTTTTTACAGGATTTAAGCCTCTCAGCCTAAATGCATATAAAATAATCTGACAGGGGTGCACCTGGGTTGCTTAGTTAAGTGTCTAACTCTTGATATCGGCTCAGGTTATGATCCAAGGTTGTGAGATCGAGCCCTGCCATCAGGTTCCATTCGCAGCGCAGAGTCTGCTTGAGATTCTCTCTAAATAAACAGAATCTTAAAAAAAAACCTGACATGATCTGTAATATTAAGCACTGCTCTTTGCACTTTAAATATACAGGTACATAATTCTTTCCAAACCCTTGGTGTCAGATGTGTTTCTACAATTCAGAATTTTGGATTTTAGAATACAATACAGATATATCATTTTTTTAACATCAGTAGGATCTGTGCTAGCATTCTGTAATTAAATATATTATTTCTGAGGCAAAATACGACTTCATACTCTAAGTTCACACACAAATTTACTTTTTTCTGGATTAAAATAAACAACTCATTTAACTCCTAACGGCTCACGAGGTGGATATTATTATTATCCTAAGAATTTGATCAGCATGATGTGCCAGTCTTCTTATACCTGCGACAATTGTTAAGGGTATCTTGTTTCATCTAAGAGATGAAATAATTTTGATTAAAAAAAAAAAAAAACACAGCACCTGCAACACAAATCAAGATAACTTGCTTATACTACCTTCTTTAAGAAGCAAGAGGTTTGGATTCCTAGTAAGTTTCCTACTTAGGAAACTGATAATATTCTGACATTTACGAATATACCTTTCCGGGGGTACCTGGGTGGCTCAGCTGGCTGAGCGTCCAACACTTGATTTTGGCTCAGGTCATGATCTTGGGGTTGTGGAAATGAGCCCCGCATGAGGCTCTGTGCTGGGCATGGAGCTGGCTTGGGATTCTCTCTCTCCCTCTGCCACTCCCCATTCCACACTTGCTCTCTCTCAGAAAGAAAGAAAAGAAAAGAAAGACAAAGACAGAAAGAAAATACCTTCCCAGCCCACATACAAGCAGAATTAAATAATTCAACATATACATTTTCGGCTTCATTGTCAGATAGGTAGTTAACAAAAATCACTCCTTGTACACCCAACTCATAAGCCTCAAGAGGGAGTTGCAGCATGGCACTGGAGTCTGAAAGGCCTGCGTTCAAATCCCTGCTGCATCACTTATCAGTGGAGTAAATTTGGGCAAAGAACTTAACTTTGGCCTCACTACTTCACAAGGCTGTTATATATGAGGTAGTATATATATGGCACTTAGTGACACCTGGCCCATAAAATGTACTAGTACAGAATTGCCACCACTGTTACTGCCCTAATGGATTAGCAAAGTATAGGATTTTAGCTTGATTTGGGGGGCAAGTTTACTGAGGTAGGAAGAGAGGCTCAGAGTTAACTTCAGAAGCAAATCATAAGGATGGTCCCAAACAGTAACAACTGTGAGTAAATCAGTATTTCCAATTTACCCACAAGTTTATTTCCAAAATCAAATATCTTGGTTTAAAATGAACCTACAATAGAATATGCATAACTGGAGACAACAGAAACCAGATCAATGTTGATGATCTCTCATTTAGAACTACTTAACTCTTTCTGGCACAGACACCATTATTTTGTCCTTTTATGCTTTTATTATCTCCTCTCCCTGGTTTCTCCGAGCCACAGATAACCGAAATCCATATTATTACGAGACTATATAACAACAGGTATGAATGTCTAAAGGTAAACTTCTTTAGAGGTGGTTAAAAAGTAAAGTAGCTCTCATAACCAACCACCCACTCAGAAATTCTCTGAATATTTTTGGAAATGTCAGTAATAGCTACAAGCCAGAGAAATACACACTAATTTGGACAAGGAAGATCCTAATATAATTAAAGTTCATTAGGCAGATCAGATGGTAAATTAATAGGCAATACTGCTCTGAATCAGTGAGAGATCTCAGAGATCAATGACCTATTCTGATATGTAGGTAATTGGGGAAGGAGAAAAGGAAAGTAAAATGGGTAAGGATAGCCAAACAAATATTTAAGTTCTGAACTAAATTAAAATCTCTACCTATTTATATTAATGTATTGACATACCCCCACTTTAAATATTTGAAATTTATAAAATTTATAGATATAAATTTATAAATATATTTATAAGAATTCAATTTTCTCCCTTGTTCTAAATAGCCTCAGGGAAACAATAATCATTCAGTGTTCTGAAGTTAGTGACTATCACAAATCTAAGAGATGAAATAATTTTAAAAATGTAGTTATCAATGCAAACCCTCCTTTCTCTCCATTCCATATAAAGACAGAGAAAACCAATTATTTTTTAAAGGGGCCTATAACTGCCAATGCTGAAGACTGAACTTTGTTATAACTGGCAACCAACTCTGAATGGGTTAGGACACATGACAGAAAATTATCAAAATTGACCTTGTACAGCCATCTAAAGAGATTACTTGATAGAAGAGCTCAAAGAAGTAGATTATCCTGTTCAAAATTCTTTGATGATAGTGTGAGAATTCTGGGAAGTCATCAAGGTACAGATGATTACAAAAATCAGGAGAATAGATGAAAAAGCTAAGAAAAAAACGTATTCCAAGACTAAACCTTAAAAAGGAAAATAAGAAATACTAGGAGAAAAAAAATGTACCTTCTAAAGAAACAAAAGGTTAACCAGAACACTAACAAAACCAAAATTTAAGAACTGAAAATGAAGTCTAGAAAGAGAGAGCAATTAATAGCTGAGAATATAGAGCATAAGGATAAAGAGGCTCTTAATTGAAATGATGGGTTTGTTGGTTTTTTGTTTTAACTTTCTGCAGGCTAAAAATTCTCATTATCTAAAGGGTGAAAGAGATGCAGTACTTCAGAGTGGTATTTTAGGGCAGCAGTCTAACCTACTTCTCATAAGTCCCTCTTTACCCATAAATTTGTTGTACTTGGACCAGGTCCATTTATAGTCATGTATATTAGGAACTTCATTTGGCTCAGCAAAATCCTGAATCCCAAACATTAAGCAAATCTAGCCAACAGATAAGCATACTTTAGATAAAATGTATCCTTGGTAAAGTACAAGCAAAACTAGTACTAGAATTTTTTTTTAAATCAACTTCTATTACAATAGTGTCATTCCTAAGAAAGAAAAAAGCTGCTCTTAAGCAACAAAAATGTTTCTTATTTAGAATCATGGACTTTTAATTTTAACTCTAAGGATCTAAAGATTATTTACAAATAAAGGAACTAAGACATAGAAAGGCTAAACCTGCTGAAGATTATAAAGCTAATTAGTGGCAGAGATTTGCTGAAGCTAGGATTCCTGTCTCTGGGGTAGTGCTGTATGCCCAACTTATCCTATCTGTAGCACTGGCCTCCCTACCTGCCCTTAGGACTAATGGTATTGAGAAACTGTGACATACAGAATACTAAAACTACTATCTAATTTCCTTAAGGAGAAAATTTCAGAAATTCACACAAGCAAGAAATTAATTTTACCTTTTCCTTCAGTGCTGAAGAACCAAAAAAGTAGCCTGTAGTCTTAAGTGGGCAAAAGGACAAGTGAAAACTCCCAGGTGCATTAACAGGCTGTAAGAGGTTTGGGTAAAGTCAGATATCACCGCACCACCATTTTCCTCATGAACCCTGCTACATTTCAAATCAAATGACTAGATCGAAGGGACTGAATTCTCACTCTTTGGGAGGCTGAACCAATGGCTGATTCACCTCTTATTCACCCTATCCTCAGCTACGAGGGTATAGGAATGCCTTGCCACACTGTGAGACCTAACGGACATCAACCTCAACAATTCAACAATTATGGTCAAAAAGCAAAGTTAGACCTACAGGTCCTCAATGGCCTATACTTTGTAACAGCTGAGACCGCAAAGAATTTTAATCATAAAACACTATTTTTCTGTCTCAAGACTGTATTTATAATGAGTTCAGCAATCAGCCATTCCATAATTCTTTCATGAATGTTAAGTTTCTCTCTGCTAGATTATAAGCTCTTTGAAGTTAATGATCGTGTCTTTACTTTTTGTATTCCCATGGTATCTATTTACTCTAGAAACAGAGTACATACTAAATATATACCTATTAAATTACCCTCTCAGCAGCTAGCCTAAACCACTGAAACCAAAGTAATCGTTGGGATGTGAGAAAAGAAATATTCTAATAAAGAAAAAAATACAGAAAAACAAAAACAACAAAACCTCAAAACGAAACAAACCACCAGTAATTTCAAGCCTCCTGATGTGGCCAAAAAAAAAAAAAAAATCAACAACAAAAGAACCCCAGCAAGAAGTAGTGTTGGGCTTTTCCTAAATCACTCTTTGGCCCAATTTCACAGATTAGCCTTCAGTATGGATAAATTTGCAGCATGTTAAACTCAGGTGTCTATGTTTTATACAGGAATTTGGAAGGTAAGGACCAAAATCTCAGTGTAACTACAAATATTTCCCATAAAAATAACCAAATAAGAATTCCCTGTTATAATTTCTCAAAGTTCTCATTACAAAACTTAAGAAAAAGGTAAATAAACCAAACTTCTTCATAGAAAAATTGTATTTACAACTCCATCCAAAAGCAGTTTTTAAAAGCAAACAACGTAACACAGAAGGTGAAAAAAATCTATGCTCACCCAAAACTGCCAAATCTAATAAATTAACAGAATACTCCATCAAAAATAAGGCAATAACCCAAGATATCCCACTGATGATTTTTCCACTTCCATAACTAGGTAGAACTAATCTATCTAGTAGCAAATGATACTTCATTCCATTTCAGCATGTCTGAAATCCTTAAGGACAAAAGTGTTAAAATATGATCTTAGTTCTTCATTAGACTCTTAGAACACTTGGAAGGAAAATAATTTCTAAAGCACAAAGAGGTAAAGAGGTATAACCTTTCAAAAAGATACTCAGAGTTCAAAATTCAAGAATGCGATATTAATACACAATGGGCATAGGTAAATATATGCAATACAGTGATAGCAAATTAATTTATTTAGTACTTTTTCCATTCCATATCATCAGGAGGATTGATTTCAACTTTCCTTTTACCTACATCAGACCAGTTGGTACTCAAAACTGTACCACCAGACTCCATCTGCAATAAGAAATAAAAATAGATTAATCCCTGGACCATATAATCAAAGCAGAGTATTTTTCTAAAAATGTTCCAAGCATAATGTTCTAAATATAGCCCATGTTTGACTCAATATAAGCAAAGGATAATACTTTGATTTAATCTTAGGCTTTTCAAATAAGTTAGGTAGAAGGCATCATGTTCATACAGTCATATAAAGCACATCTCCCTTGGCTAATCAGCATTGAGGTAAATGTGGAAAATCTACCTTCTGATGAAAATAAAATTGGCTCCCCAAGAAAATAATAATCTCTTTTGTTAAGGACAGTAAAAACCAGACAAAGTAAACTCTTTCTATACTAGTTGGACAGAACTTTTAAGATCCCCTTAGTAATGCTGTGACAAATATATACAAGGGAATGCTGGAATTTTTTTCAAATCAATGTGCATACACACAAGTACATAAAAGCAGTATCTCAGTAAAGAACTGATTATCTTATTTACCATCTATAGAATATACCACCCACCAAAAACCCTAGCACATTCGTAAGTACATTCTAAAAAAACCTCTGGACATTTGTTATCTTAATAAAAATTAACTGACTTGGATCACAGCAAAAAACAGTGTGAATTATTCAAATCTAAACATTTTTACATGATCAGCTGTGCTGCTGGCATATGTATATAGTTACAAACCCGACTATTACACTGGAACCTCAATATAACCTCATGCCCCACACTCCCTGTCAAGCTCCCTTACATGGGTTGCTTTGCATGGGATGTTCTTCCCCACCGGTTTATTTTCCCATTCTTTATCCTCTAAACATAACATTTCACCATTTCTCTGTGGCCTCCTTTGACCCTAATCAGGACTCTACCTTTGTAGAATCTGTGTTCTGTATGAGCATAATTACCATTAATATGTATCACACTACACTGTTAGAATTTTAAGGGTCTGCTTTCTTTTATATGCTTCGTACCCTTGGTTCCAACTAAAGCTGAGAGCCCCTACAAGGCAAGGAACATATTTTACTAACACTTGTATCCTAGATCTAAGCCACAACGGTTGGGCACATGATAGACTTCAAATAAAATATTGATATGAATGTTTGTAAATGTAGTATGTAGTAGAAGCATGTGGGAATAGACCTATTCTTACCTGAATGAAACTATACAGCATATAATATGTTTTAAGGAACACCTTCTTTCATTAAGACATAAGTATATGTAAACATATGTTAGCAGCATATAGCATGAGCCTTGTGCTTACCTCACTGAACTACACTGTGTATAAACTGTCATTCAAGTAACAAATCTTCTCTCATTAATATAAACCCACTAACATCCTAAACCTCTAACCCCAATCCTAATGTCATTGAGCCCTCTGGAGAGTTCTCCAAATTGCAGGATACGAGGCATATACCCTTCAACCCTGGCCCTAACCCTAACCCTAACCTAATCCTAACCCACATCTAAGAAAAAAAGAAAAAAGAAGTGGTATACATATACAATGGAATATTACACAAACACACACACACACACACACACAAATCCTGCCATTAGCAATCACATGGATAGAGCTAGAGGGTATTATGCTAACTGAAATGTCAGTCAGAGACAGACACCATGTGATTTCACTCATATGTGGAATTTAAGAAACAAAACAAAGGAGCAAAGAGAGAGAGAGACAGAGGCAAACCAAGAAATGGATCCTTAACTATAGAGAACAAACTGACAGTTATCACAGGGGAGGTGGATGGGGGCATGGGTTAAATAGGGGATAAGGATTAAGGAGTATACTTGTGATGAGTACCGGGTGATATATGGAAGTGTTGAATCACTATTTTGTACACCTGAAACTAATATTACATGTATAGTAACTAACTGGAATTTAAGACTTTAAAAAATTTGAATAAAAAGGGATAAATTCTATATAATAAACTACTCCTATGAAGATGAAGGAATCAGATTTAGTTTATAATCTGATATTTACTGATGACATTTACTTTCCCCTCTTTCCTGATGGACTGCAGTGCAATTTAGCATTTCCCTCTGATTATTTTGTACATGTTGGGTCTTTTTTTCCCCAATTAGACTGGAAGATCATAGATGAGTCTATTTTCCTTGTTTTCCCAGAAGCACTTGGTATGTTCCAGGTGGCTTGTATATTTATGGGTGTATATGGTTCAATTACTATTAGCAAAGCCTCTGTATGAAAATGGATGCAGATTCTATAATCTATCTTTGAAATTTCACACACTGCTATTCTGTCTAGCATACTCTTAAAAAAGTCAATACTGAAACTGACTTCTCTTCCTGGGGACACAGAGTAGATGTATTTTACCCTATTCTTCCCACTTAGTACTACTAAAAACCTTGGGACATTATATATATGTAAACAAACATAAGAAGATTCTAAAAGATGAAGGAAAGAAGACAGATCAGCTAGGGACCTTGGGAGGCAAGAATAACATAACATGGTGGTGAGTCCCCTGGGTTTTCTTTTTTACCTCATGTCCTAGAGTTGCTGCTGAAGAAGCTGGAAACACTAAGAGGCACACACACAAAAAGCTCAAAAGGAAACCTGGTTTCTCTAGCTAAAGGATGAAGAAAGACAAAAAGACAGCTTAGGAAGACAGAAAAGTTTTAGACTATAATTGCTCCATTGTACTAGACACCACAGAAAAAAACTGTGGTGCCATCCGCACCCAAGGCCAGTAAAGGCTGGGTGAGGAGCCTAGACTTCCACCCATGCTGGGCTATCATGAAGCCACCTCCTCTGCTACCTGTGGTATCAGTGAAAACCACAGAGATATCTACCCCACTCCCATCAGTAGTGAAGAGATGCCCTGGGATGTCTAAGGAGGCTGATTAGGGTGCCTGGATTTCTACCTCCACCTAGCAATAATGAGGCAGTGCCTTCCCTTCCTCTGAGAGTGACTGGCAGAGAGAGCCAAATAAGATGGAGGATTTATTTGATTTTATTTAAGATTTTATTTATTTATTTGACAGAGAGAGACACAGCAAGAGAGGGAACACAAGCAGGGGGAGTGGGAGAGGGAGAAGCAGGCTCCCCGCGGAGCAGAGAGCCCGATGCGGGACTCAATCCCAGGACCCCGGGACCTGGCCAAAGGCAGACGCTTAACTGACTGAGCCACCCAGGTGTCCCTAAGATAGAGGATTTAAATAAGATCCAGTCTCACAGCAGAACATGAAAAACATCCAAGTTTCAACTGAAAATCACTTGTTGCTGGTAAAAAACACCAAGCACAAGCAAAATTTCAGATTCTATTTTTTTTAAAAAAAAAGACAATCAACAGATGCTAATGTTGAGATGAGAAAAATGTTAAAATTATCTGACAAAGATTTTAAAGTAATCATAGTAAAAAAATGCTTTACTAGAAATCATGAATTTGCTTGAACCAAATGAAAAATAGAACAATACAGCAAAGAAAAGAAAATCTAAAGAACCATCAAATGTTTCAGAATCAAAAACTACAACTGAAATACAAAGGTAAGTGGATAACGCTAAAGAACAGAATAGAAGGGACCTTTTGAGAAAAGCATCAGTGCACCTGAAAACAGGACAATATAAATCACCTCATCTGAACAACAGAGAGAAAAGAGAGATAAAATGAAGAAGTCCCAGGGATGTGTGATACTGTAACAAAATATTTATCTTATATCCTCAAGTTTCAGGAAGAAGGTAGATCTGAAAAAGTACTCAATGCAATAATGGCTGAATATTTCCCAAATCTGGCAAGACACATAAACCTACAGATTCAACAAACCCCAATCAGAATAAACCCAAAGAAATCCTTGCTGACAGAGAATCTGTCACAGGCAGATCTAAAAGAATGCCAGGGAGCACCTGAATCGGTTAAGCATATGACTCAATCTCAGCTCAGGTCTTGAGTTCAAGCCCCGCATTGGGCTCCACTCTAGGCATGCAGCCTACTTAAAAAAAAAAAATAATAATAATAATAATAATTATTATTATTAAAAAAAAAGAATGCCTAAAGTTCTCTAAAATAAGAACAAATAACAGAACCTCAGAACATTAGAAACGAAAACAAATAAAACAGAATTTGCTTTTTCTCTTGAGCTTTCTAAATTACATGTGACAGTTGAATGAAAATTAACAATGTATGTAGAGGAAATACCTGTGAAAATTATAAATGAGAGAGAGTAAAGGGACATAAAGGGAGGAGGTAAGGTTTCTACACTTCACTCAAACTGACAAGAAAAATGACACAAACTCTGATAAGCTATGTATAATATAGCTAGTATACAGAGCAACCACTAAAAATGCTATACAAAGAAGAAACACTAAAAAAATTATAAATAAATAAAAATGAAACTAAAACATATTTACAAGTACTCTCAGAGGAAGGCAGGAAAAACAAAAGAACAAACCAAAAAAATAAAATGGTAGTTAATTAAAGTCCTAAAATATCAGTAATTATATTCAATGTAAATGATCTGAATATGTCAATTAAAAGACAGAGACTAGCAGAAGAGATGAAAAAACATAACCCAACTATATGCTGTCTCCAAGAAACTCACTTTAAAAAACAGTAGGACTCAATCAATTTAAATATGATATAGACAGGTTGGAAATAAAAGAATGGAACAAGACATCATGCAAAAATTAATCAAAAGACAGAAGAATTGGCTACATTAATATCAGAACAAAGAAAATTACCAGAGCTAGAGAATGACATGTATATATGATAAAAAGGCCAATCCACCATGAAGATACCGCAATCCTAAATGCATATGCAGCAAAAAGAGCTGCAAAATATGTGAAGCAAAAATTGACAGAATAAGACAAAATCAGCAATACAGAAGAATTCAACAATATCAAGCAACATCTATAGAACACTCCTTCTAACAATAGAACACACCTTCTTTTCAAGCGAAACAAACTTCAGATACACCAAATGCTAGGCAATAAAACAAAGAATGTACATCACATGGTACATAGTCTCAAATCACAATGGAATAAAATTAGAAACCAATAATAACAAGGTTAACAGGAAAATCTCCAAACACTTGGAAACTGAACAACACACTTCTAAACAATCCATGTGATGAAGTCTCAACTGAAATCAAAATACATATTAAACTGAATGAAAATATAACATTAGAACTTGTGAGAAACAGCTAAAACCCCACTAACAGGGAAATTTATAGCATAAACATACACAACAGAAAACAGAAAGTCAAATCAACAATCTAATTAACATCTGAACAACCTACAAAGATAGCAAAATAAACCCAAAGCAAGCAGACGGGAGAAAATAAAAAAGAACAGAAATGAATGGAATTTCTAATAAAAAACTGAAGAAATTTCTTAAGTCAACAAAGGGCTGATTCTGTGGGAAAAAAAAAATTCAGTAACATTGACAAACCTCAAGACTGAAAGAAGACACAAATTACTGCCATAGGAATGAAATGGAGTATCCCTACAGACCTTGTAAATATCAAAACAAAAACAGTAAGAAAATACTACCAACACTGACAGGTTAGACAAACTAAATAGCATTTATGCTCAAAAACACAAACTGCCACAAGTCACTCAATATGAAACAGATAATCTGAACAGTCCTATAAACTATTAGAATAATTCTGTAATTTAAAATCTTGCCAAAAAAGAAATATCCAGGCCCAGATGGTTTCACTAGTTTAAAGAAAAACTAACACCAATTCTACATAATCTCTTCCCCAAAACAGAAGAAGATAGAGCACTTCCCAATTCATTTTATGAAGTTAGTATTACACAGATACCAAAACCAGAAAAAGACATACAAAAAAAGAATACTACAGACCAATATCCCTCATGAATATAGACACAAAAATCCTTAACAAAGTATCTGAAAGTAAAATTGGGCAAAATACAAAAAGAATTATACACTATGACCAGGTGAGGCTTATGCCAAGGATTCAAGGTTGGTTCTAGTAGAAATATCATATTAATCATATAAAATCACCGTTGTAACAGGTTAAAGAAGAAAAATCACATAATCATTTTGATCAATGCAGAAAAAGCATTCAAATTCAAAAAGTGAACAGCTAGCTGTGCCGTGTTGGTGGTATAGTGGTGAGCCTAACAGCTACCTTCCAAAAAGTCAACAGCCATTCATGATAAAAAATCTCACAAAAGGAATAGAGAACTTTAACCTGACAGAGCATCTGCAAAAAGCCTACCACTAACATTATAATTAATGGTGAAAGACTGAATGGTTTTCCCTTAAAATGGGGAACAAGGCATAAATGTCCACTCTCACCACACTTTTCAACATAGTGCCAGAAGTTCTAGCCACTGCAATACAGCTAAAAAAAGGAGATAAAAGTCACAAATACCATATTTAAAAAGTCCCTCTTTGAAGATATGACTGTCTACATAGAAAATCACATGTAATTTACAAAAAAATTCCCTAGAGTAAGTGAGTTTAGCAAGGTCACAGAATGTAAGATAAAAAAACCAACTGTATTTCTAAATACTAGCATATGGACACGAAAGTTAAATATACAATATAATTTACAATCACTCAAAAAAAAAGGATACTTAGGTATATCTTGCAAAACATGTTTAGGATTTACATGTGGAAAACTGCACAATGCTGATGAAAGACTCAAAGATCTAAATAAATGGATTGGAAGATTCAACACAGTAAAAATGTCAATCTCTCCGAACTGATATACAGTCAATGCAATTCCTAACAGGATATTTTGATACATATAAACAAAATATTCTAAAGTTTATGTGGAAAAGCAAAGGAACTGGAATATCTAAAACAATTTTGAAAATGATTAACCAAGTAGAAGGAATGACTCTTCCTGGATTCAAAACTTACATAGCTAAAATAATCAAGACTGTAATATTACAGAGGAATAGACATGTAGATCAATGAAACAGAGAACCCAGAAATAGACTGAGACAAATACGCGCAAGTAATTTTAGAGATACGCAAAAACAATTCAATGGAAGAAAGACAGTTTTTCAACTGGTTCTGGAGCAAATGAACACGTACAGGCCAAAACCAAAACATACAAAAAAAACCCTCAACCTACATCTCAACTTTATATATAAAAATTAACTCAAAATGGATCATGGACTTCAATGTAATATGTAAAACTATAAAACTTTTATTGAAAGAAATTTTCAGATCTAGGACTAGGCAAAAGTTCTAGACTTGATACTAAAAGCTCTTAGACTTGTACTAAAAGCATAATCCATAAAAGGAAAAACTGATAAACTGAACTTCATCAAAATTAAATACTTTAGCTCTGCAAAAAAGAAAATAAAAAGACAAACTACAGACTGAGAGAAAATATTTGCAAACTATGTATCTCACAAAGACTTGTCAGATTAGTGGTGGCAGGAGTTAAGGAGAGGCAGTGGTGGGAGGAAGTGTGTATGGTATAAAATGACAACAGTGAAGGAATCCTCTGGCAGTGGAAATGTTCTCTATCTGAACTGTCATTATCATGGTTGTGATACTGTACTGTAGTTCTGCAAGAGGATTCCGCTAGGGGAAACTGTGTAAAGGATACAAGGGATCCTCTGCATTATTTCTTACAACTGCATATAAATCTATAATTATTTCAACATAAAAAGTTTAAAAAAACTTTTTTAAATCAACAGTGAAAAGCTCAATCATGAGCAGTTACAACACAGTAACTTCTGTGGAATATATGAGTCTCAAAAGACATTTATTAACTAAGTACTAATTTGAATCTAAATGCCTTAAAAGAAGAGAGTCACATTTCCAAAGCTACTGATAAAAGTCAAATGATCACAACTAATGCAAAATAATCAACCTAGTTCTACAGAGATGACTTGTTATTAAAATCTCAGAACTTGAGGCCTAATTTGGGGTGATATTTAGGTTGTCTTGGGCCTTATTTTCTTAATCAACAAACCAATGAGTAATTAATATGCACTTTCTACTTGCCAAACACTGTTCTGGCAGTTTCCTGTCTATATTCTTCATCTCTGACACTGAGGCCACTATATATGGTTCTAATGGAGGCTCCTTCAGCTATTGTGATAAATCCAACTACAGTAATTAAGAGTATTTCTTAGCCTTCCAAGTTCTAACTCAGTGACTAAAAAATATTTGGAATAAACCACTTGAGTCTCAACTCCCCCACAAGTTTCCAACTTCCCCAATAATTACTCTAAGTTCAGGGGAGAAAGAAATGTTCAGATGAAGCCTACTCAAAAAGGCCTCCCAACTACAATACATGCAGTTTGGTTTCAAAATGCCTACTTAATCTTATAAAATTTCTGAAATTTACTACCACAATATGTGTTTTTCAAGCTTATGTTCTTACAAATGATTTGTTCATAGCACGTTTCACTTCATCAGAACCATCTGAATAGATCTGCTGAAATAATTTGTTTAAAGCTGCATCTCCCTCCAACTTCTCATTTTTTTCTTCTTCTTTGATCTCACCAACCAATTTATCCCAATTTCTTGTATAATGAGATGATGATGGATATAAGTTCTTTACATCTATGGAGTAAAAAAGACAGAAGTGATTAATCAACATGTGAAGATTAGGTCAAGAATATGTAAACTTTGTGACCATGGTATATAGAACATCTTAGCAAATAGTTCAGGTCACTAAATTTCATGTTTATAATAAATGTCTTTGATATATACATCAATAATCAGATTTACACTTCTAAAAACTGAATCAGCGTAATGTAAAATCCGGAAGTTTCTTTTGAGCAAAATCTAATAAAGTGTACATTTTTGATATATTATGCAAAATTAGATTAAAAACAGATTCTTTGTGTTAATAATGAGGGGACTGAGTGAGAAGTATACTAGAACTTTTATATTTACAGAAAAGTTGCAGAGATAGTATAAACAATTCTAAAAATAGTGTTTTTAAATAATGCTTCATTAAGAAATTTCTCTTACAAACGAGATTTTAATGTTAAAAATGTGACTTTTTTGAGGTGCTTCTCTTTCAGAGTAGAGCTAAACTGAAAATATAAATCCATGCCATTAGACAGTGAGTTAAGACTCCATCCTCTCCCCACATTAAATTATTAGATTACTTCAATAGGAGATAATAAGCAATTCTTGAATGTTGAAAAATACACCATGTGATCATTTAGAGTTCAATGTCCACTCACGCACACACTGAAAATAACAGTACCTGTAGGGCACACTGGGGTAAATGGAGGCTGCTTACAACCAGAGAGGCTACTGACTGGCCCAGAGGCTCAGGGCACTGCCAAGGCTATCCTAAAGACTAAGGGAATCAAGATGGTGGCACCCAAGTAATTAAAAAGTAATCTACCTAAAAAAAAAAAAAAAAAAGTAATCTACCTAGAAGTTATAAGAGCAGTTCTGTTCACTCTCCAATGGAAATATAACACAGGCCACAAATGTGAGCCACATACATAATTCAAAAATTTCTAGTAGCCATGTTACTAAGAATCATCAGGTGAAATGCATTTTAATAATATATTTTATTTAACCTAATATATTCAAAACGGTATCATTTCAACATGGATCAATATTAAAACATTTTATGTTCTTTCTTTCATACTGTCTTCAAAATCTGGTATTTTATACTCCAGCACAACTCAATCCAGACTAGTCATTTTCAAATGCTCAGCGGATACATGTGGTGACTATACTGGACAGTGTAGCTACAGAGCTTAAAAAGACCTGATTCAAAGTTTCCCTATTAATAAATTAGGACACATTACATGTCCCTCCTTCCACTACTACCTCTCTATATCCCTTTCCTCAAAATAGTTCAGAAATGAGAAACCACTAACCATTCAGTTTGTTGTTCCATCTCTTCTCTTCACCTGTAAGTCTTTCTCCTTGCCTATCTCCCCAGCAAAACAAAACTAAACAACACCCCTCACAATTTTACTTAGGATAAGCATACAGTTTTCTGATCTACCCTTCCTCTATCAGTAATCCTGTGTGTCTATGTGCATTTTCACTAGTAGCCAAAGAAACAAAAAAATATGTCATAGTAAATTAAAAGCCTAAAAAACATGGGTTTAATTAATCCTAATGCTGACTCCCCAGAAGAATGGGAACACAGGTTCTAACCTCCATTTTACAGATAAGAAAACTGGCCCAGACAGGTCAAGCAACTTGCCCTTATCTGCAGTCTCCAGCTTGCAGGACACAGGAATCTGACAAGCATATTAATTCCTTACAAAAATATAAAACAGGACAGAAGGAATAGCATCTGAAATATCCAAGGCATTGAGTTTAGAAAAACTTTGCAACCATAACACTAAAAAATCTTTATATTTAATCTCAGAAAAACTTTAACACCTGTAGATGGTGGATAAACTACTGAGGAATGGATAGGTAACCTAACTTCCTTGTTCATTCATTGTAATATCAAATAACTGCAAAGATACTGATGTCAGCAGAGACTTTTTTCCATTGTTAGAAGATGCAGCAACAACCAGTATCACATATAGGGTTTATGTAAGAACCAGACCCAGACCGTGAAGACCAGGGTTTAGTCCTAGGCAATGAAAACTGCTGGGTGAGCTTAAGCAAGTTGCTTACTTTCGAAGCCTGTAAAATAGGTCTGCCTACCATAGAGGGCTGTTGTTAGAATCAAGTGAGATACTACATTTAAAGTGTTTTGTTTTTTTAAATGCTTTCTGAGCTATATATAAACCTCAGCCCCCAAGTCTCTGCGAGTCAGACCCAAAAGAAGCACATAACATCCTTCCTCTGTCTTTCAAATAAAATGTGAAGCAGAAATACCAACTTCAAATATTTCAATCCTAAAAAATTATCTGTTGGTGTCAATTTTCCTGGTTTTGCTAATTACACAATAGACTAGTTGTGATGTTATTATGCAGGGAAGCTGGGTGAAGAGTACATGAGAACTCATCATTTCCGCAACTTCTAGGGGCATCTAAAATTATTTCAAAATAAAAATAAAATAAAATGAATGATTTGTTGGCTAACTCTGTTTTCTAAAAGGTGCCACAAGGAAATCTGTTTTATGTTACAGAAAGAACAGTGAGAAATCTAAAAGTAACTGAAACACAGTATTAACTCATTTTAGTCATCAAATCAGAACATTAATCAAAAAGAAATTTCTCTCCTTTCATTAATGAGGCCATTGCTATAAAATACACTCTTAGGTTGTAGTTCTAAGAGTATCTAGCAGGTTAATCATTCCATTAGAAAAACACCTGTCTATTGCATAGGCTTAAAATTGACCCAACATACAGTAGTCTGTCCCTTACAGTATTAAAAACAATCAACCCTAGTTTTCCACTCTTCTCCTAGGCTTTTCTTAGGTTTTCATGACCTGTTTGTGAGCACTTCTTTAGGAGCAATAGAGTGAAATGGGTTAGATATTTTACTCTGTGAAGCCCTGAAAGTCCAGGAAATTAGAGTTGACAATATCAGAAGAAATAGAAAGGAATAAATGAAAGGGAGAGGGAAGAGGAGGATATTATTTCAGCAGAATAAACCTCTAATCCACTTACAACCCAAAAGCAGCAACAGGAAAGGGCAACACACAAAAACAACCCTCAACTAATGTCATACAGTGACTGGGTAAACAATATAAACCCAACGCCCTCACGGTTTATTCGAGCATTCACTTGTATTCTGAGTTGAAGAACTGAAAAAGGTAGAAACTTCACATGAAAGGCTACTTTGTATTCATTACAGAGCAATCTTATTGCACTCAATATATCTTTTCTTGGGAACATAAATAATGAAAGTAGGAAGAATGCTCATTACTATTTAACTTCAACTATGTAACACAAAAGAATTTAAAGTTCATCAAGGCCAGAAAACAAACCTGCTATGAACTGTTTTGGTTTAGGCACATCTCCTTGCCCCTCTAGCTTTTCCCATCTCACAGCCTCTGTCTTTTTCATTTTAATTTCAATCTGGAGGAAACACCAAATAAAATTTATTATTCCATGTAAAATATACAAAACAGTAAAAAACAAATGCAATTTCTTTAAGTCATAAAATTTTATAAGAATTAACAGTGCCCTTAAGAAAATTTCCTTAAATTATACTAGGTTAAATTTGAAGAACTTTGAAACATTTTGTTTCTATTTAAAAGCCACCCTTCAAAAACAACATACATACATACTATAAGCTATAATTAAGTCTTGAAATTCCTGTTTTCTTCTTCCAATGCACTGTTCTCAACCAGGGGTGATTTGGCAACGTTTATGGTTATTGTTGGTCTTCACAACTGGGGTGGGGGTTAGGGATGCTCCTAAACATCCTACAACATAAAGGGCAACCCCTCCACAACAAAGAATTATCCAACCCAAAACGTCAACAGCGCCCCCCACTGAGAAACCCTGTTCTAAAGGAATTACTATAGGGGTGCCTGGGTGGCTCAGTCGGTTAGGCATCTGACTGTTGATTTCAGCTCTGGTTGTTGAAATCAAGCCTCTTGCCGGGCTCTATGCTCAGCGGGGAGTCCGCTTCCCTTTCCTTCTCGCTTTCTCTCTCTCCCTCTGCTTCTCCCCCTGCTCATGCTCTCTAAAATAAATAAATAAATCTTTTTTTTTTTTTTTTTAAAGAATTCATTTATTGGAGAGTGAGAAAGAGCACACCGGGGGGCGGGGGGGAGAGCAGCACATGGGGCTCAATCCCAGAACCCTGGGATCATGACCTGAGCCAAAGGCAGACGCCCAACCGACGTGTGCCCCAATAAATCAGTATTTTAAAAAAATAAAGGAATTACCACATTTGCTTGTACATTAACCCATTTGAGAGCTGAGACAAATTCTTATCATTGTATAAAAATAATACAACTAATGCTAAAATTTTTAATTCAGTCAATAATTATTAAACACCCAATATGAGCAAGTTGTAATCTTCAGGGATGTGGTGGACTTTTAAAATATTAAAAACATGTTCTTGGCCATCTGAAAGTAGGTGAGATACTAAAAGAAAGTTGATCAAGAGGCAAATAAATGTTCTAAAAGTTTAGCAGAGATTACAAATGGGTGTGAAAAGAAAAAGTTTCAGTGCATCTTGAAGAGCTTCGAGGGGCAGGAGCATTTGCAATGGTGGAAGGGGGAGGTCTCCAGAGGCAAAAGCAACAGCCTGAAACTGGAGCCCTGAGGTTTCAAAGGACACAGTGCATCAGGGAGTACAGACAAGACCAATTTGTCTCAAGTCCAGGATTTATGTTAGAACAGTAAAAAATACAGATGAAAGAGGTGTAAGGCAAACTATGAAGAGCCTCTGAATGCTGAACTAGCTTCACTTATTAAAATGAAATATTAAAAGCATCTTTAATTATTTAATCAAGGCTGGTCCCCTAGAGTCCACCCTTAACCGTAACATACACTCACGGAGCACTTACATATACCTTTTGTTTTCCTTGTTCAAATAATGCTCACTCCCAATTTAAGCCTAGCAAAATCAGCATTTATAGCACTAATAAATTATTATGCAAACAGCTTAAGAATCAAAATAGAATTTTTATAAAAAGATCTTATCAGTCTTATAAATATATTTCAGAGAGAAAGGAAGTGCGAGCTCGGGGAGAGGAAGAGAGAAAATTCTAAGTGCAGGCTCCACACCCAGCACAGAGTCCAATGCAGGGCTCCATCTCATGACCCTGAGATCATGACCAGAGTCAAAAGCAAGAGTCGGATGCTTAACCAACTAAGCCACTCACACACCCCTCAAAATAGAATTTTATGTTCTAATTTTTCCTAAGAAAAGGATTTACTTTTGTAAATAGGAAAAAAAAATCAAAAGACAAATGTAACAGAAAGAAAAGCCTATTCATGCCGGTTCTTCAACACCATTAAATCAGATAAATCATTTAAACTAGCAATTACTGGTAATCTTTCTACCACCTGCATTAAGTGTCAGAATCCTTAAAATTTATATTTTAAAATACCTTAACTAAACACTAACCAAGAAATCTGCCAATAATTTTAATCAGATAGGAAGTGATGGTATAGAAGGGGTATAGTCTGAGTATTTGTATTTTCTTTAGCACAGAAATTTAACAAAAACTGTTTTCATAGTGAAAAAACCATGAAACAAATGTCACTGGGAAAGAGACCAAAAGTACAGTATTTTTAATGTAATTTATGTGTTTAAATTCTACATAAAAACAATTTTAAGGATCTCTAGAATTCTCTAAAATGAATGACTAATTTTTATAAAGTAAAACACTACCTATATTTTCTCATACACAGTATTAAGTGATAATAATTTGGTTATTTTAAGTTGTTACTGCTGGAATATTTATCAAAAAGGGGCAAAAATCTAATAGCTGGCGATGACACAGCAACAGTACTGAAAAGGGATATTATCATCCTAAAATTTAAAACTTCATCTTGTTCCTTTAATTTTCAACTCAACTGGAAATGAAGACCTGGCAACACTATCCTTAACTAACCTCTGCCTCAGGGCACCCTCTATTCTCACCTCCTGTTCTGCACTTAAGCACGGTCTATAAAATGCTCCTTGTTTCATCTAGAGGGCAGCATACACTAGCACTCACATCTACTGAAGCCACTGAAACTGGAGTAATTGTGCAGTATGAATCAAGAGGCCTTTGTAAGGCCAAAGTCAAAGCTCTTAGTAACAACGTGTATCAAGTGAGACACCCTGACCTGAACCTGAAATTATATTTAATCCATTCATTAAAACAGCTGCACATAATAAAACACACTTAAAGTAGCTTTTTAAAAAGATAAAAGTGGGGGGAGCTAATTTTCTGTGAATTCCTTTTTACCCCTATTTCACTTTCAACGCTTATACGTGCTTTTAAAAATGAAGTTTTAAGTCTTAATGATCCTGGCAGGTATCTCCAAGAGTAACCAACAGCCCAATTGCAGATATTTTTATTGCAACTATTAATAAGCTATTCTATTTTCATTTAAGTCAAAATCATTTACAAGTTAACTTAAAACCTTGGTTTGAATGTTCCTCTCATATGCCCGGGGAAGGTTTTCAGTAATATCCCAAAGCAGTATTCACAGATTACTAAGTAAGAATCCCTGCTGTTCCAGATTGTTAAGTTTTCATGATTTTGCATACTATCACCCACTTCTCAATTCTTTACACAGACAATTTAATATTTTCCAATGAAATAACTTCAGATTTAAAGGGAAGCCATGACCCCAAAAGGGTCATGGCATCCAGACACCACCTTCTTAGGAGGAGGGTAAACCTCCCACTTGCTGTCACAGACTGACCGTGAAGGCATCTTTCTCAGAGACTAGAGAGCTGTGGCAGTTTACTGCTAAACTTTTTCAGGCAAAGTTTTGACAACCATCTGTTTCAAGGCTGTAGTCATTAAACAATTGTTCCTGACCTTTAGAATGTAATTTTCCCAATAGTCTCTTACTCAGCTCTTTACACGTTTAATGGCTGTACCTAACTGCTTCCTCCAAAAATAGAGTAAACTCAGTCTTCCTGAAGCCATACTGCACACATCTACCATCTTTATTTTTACACTCAAATCATTTTGTAATCATTTTTTAAAATGCAGAAGACAGTAATTAATGACGAGAAACTGAAAAATCACAGAAGTTCTAATAGTACAATTCAAGTATTTACTGAGTACTGTGGGCAAGGCACTGTGATAGTACCTAAGATCACAGTCTCTATTCTTCCTGAAGAAATCAGTAAGAAATATTCCCATAAACAAAAAATTCCAGTATATATCACCTGTAGTGAAAGATCTAAATATTCTAGTTTCCTAGAAGTTTGTCAAAATGTCATTAGTAGTGAGACTGATTACTTTCTCAGCTCCTTTATATTTTTCTAAATTTTCTATGATATGCATTTATTGCTTTTATAACCTGAATAAAAATCTGAATAATCAGGATAAAATACTAATAGCAGTAACATTTATTGAGCACTATTAAAACCTTGTGTGCTTCGTGTATGTCAGCTCAGTTAATAGAACAACCCTGTAAAAGGAGATTACCATCCATATTTTAGAGATGAGACAGCCAAGATAGACAGACAACTTGCTGGAAGTGTCTTTTACTGCTAGAAGTTCTACTTATTTCCTCAGAAATAAGCAGAGGTTAAAAACAGGACAAAAACTATCAACTGTATAATTTTAAAGAAGAGTCATAAATAGGTACTACTTGTTGGAAATATGACCATGAACAAGTAACTAATCTCACTGAGCCCGTTTCTCCTGTAAAAAGTGATTAATAGGGTCTACCTCATTTAGGGTTCTTATCAGGGTTAAATGAAACCATGTGGGAAAAGAACAGAGCACTGTGTCTGGCAAATAACTGAATGCTATTATCATTATCTTCATCATCATAATTAGCTAAAAAAATCTGGGCAAATTATTTAACATCTCTGGGTTCAGTTTATACCTGTAAATAGATGATAAAAATACCTACACCATGCAGTATTTGTGTGGATTACACGGGATAATACACAGCAGTCAAAACAGTTACCTACTATAATTCTGCACAGGTCAAACAGCAGGGACTGGCTAACTAAACTACAATAAATGCACACAGTGGAATACTTTGCTGTAGAATACTTAAGGGTATCAAAAAATTATCCAAAATGTATGGTTAAATTTAAAAAGACAGCTATAGGCAGTACTTGTAGTAAAATCCTTTTCTTTTGAAAATAAGAATATGCAGTAGTAGAAAAGGGGGCAAGAATACACTTCAAAAAACGATTTGTGGATTACAGCAACTAATCACTTATTTAAAAAAAAAAAACACAAAAACTATTACCACAACCACTGTATCAAAGACATAAAACATGTGGCGCCTGGGTGGCTCAGTCAGTTAAGCGTCGGACTCTTGATTTTGGCTCAGGTCATGATCTCAGGGTTATGGGACTGAGCCCTGCCTCACGCTCTGCACTGTGCAGGGTCTGGTTGGGATTCTCTCTCCCCCTCCCCAGACCCGATCCTCTGCTCGCGTGTGTGCTCTCTAAATAAATACATAAAATCTTAAAGAAAAAAAAAAAAGACCTAAAACAATCGAAAAACCCCCACATCTGTGTGTTTAAAAAAGCAGAAATATCCTGCCCAAACATCTCCAACTCTATCACATCATCATCAGGATTCTTCTATGAATATTAAGAAAAGGAATTCACTCTAAAACTTCTCAATTTTATTGAGTTAAGAAGGGAGCAATTATTTGTCTCCAAGTAAAGACATTTTACTTCCCACAATTCCAGTTAAAAGCCTTCATATTTTATATAGCTATAATACAAAAAAACTGGTTTGACTAAATACAGGAATAGAAGTGGGGTGCCTGGGTGGCTCAGTCGTTAAGCATCTGCCTTTGGCTCAGGTCATGATCCCAGGGTCCTGGGTTCAAGCCCCACATCGGGCTCCCTGCTCAGCAGGAAGCCTGCTTCTCCCTCTACCAGTCCCCCTGCTTGTGTTCCCTCTCTCGCTGTGTCTCTGTCAAATAAATAAATAAAATCTTTAAAAAAAAAACAAAAAACAAAAAACAGGAATAGAACTTTTTTTTTTCCCTTTGAAGATTTTAAGTAATCTCTATACCCAACATGGGGCTCGAACCCACAACCCCGAGATCAAGAGTCACACACTCCACCAACTAAGTCAGCCAGGTGCCCAGAAGAACATTTCTACCAGGGTAAATTTACTCCAAAGGATTTTGAAAATTCTAGTTTTTTAGGAGGAGTGAATATTAATCTTTAAAATGAGTATTTCACAGCATAGCTGTCACTGAAGTTATAATCTTGTGATTGTGAGCAGAGAATAGTGTCATGAAATTAACAAGATGGAACAAAAGAAACACTACAGTTTCTTAATAAAGAAAATGAATTAATAGGCAGATATGAAAGCTGGTATTCAATAAAGGGTAGAAAAAACTATCAGAGGTACTGAAAAAAAATCGAATTCTGACTTGGAAAGACCTAGATATGACATTGTAAAATATTTGATTAAGAAATGCTATTTCATTAATTTAAGGGTCCTACTTCTCTTATTTCCATTGCAAATTATATTTCACTTGAATTAATAACACTTAACCAACGATTATACATGAATATGCAACATTTATTCAACCTTGAAGGTGGAAAAGAAACTGGATTCTCAAAGCAAAGAAACAACCGTTTTAAAGCACAGATTTTATGGAATCTCTAATTTTAAACAGATTCTTCTAAACAGAACAATTCTTTTCTCAACTCACATAAAGGATTCAAGACACCTGAATACATATAAAAGTCAAATGACTTATTTTTCTTTTAGTATCATTAAATAAGCCTCAGTAACCCACAGAAAAATTTTATTTTCAGTATTTTAACAGTCTCCCTCTGCTGTATGAAAAAAAGATTCAAAACTTTCATTTCCCTTAAGATAAAATTAAGTGCAATTATTTCAATTTGTTTCCCATAAAATACAGCTTAAAAGTTGGTAGTCTAACAAAACTAATATATATTATTTTGGGTTAAGACAAGAAAAATAATCATCTTCCATTAGACATCTTAAGAATTTTAATTCTTTAATACAGAACTTAGAAAAACCTAAGCAAAGAAGCACTAGCTTTCCAGAAATAAAAGTATTACTCTTGGGCCAGGATGAACAATTTAGTAACTATGTAAACTCGGGGAAAGCATTTAAAGTCCATGAACCTGTTTCTTTTCATCTATAAAACGAATAAAAATACTCTGTCAACTTCAAAGGGTTAATATCAGAATCCAATTTAAATTCATTCACTAAACAATTACTGAGCAGCAGACTATGTACAATACACAGAGATACAGGCAAATTTAGCAAATGGATCATACTTACACTAAAAAAATTACTCATTGTTTGTGGAGTTAACTGGGGCATCCTTACCTGGAGCATATACAAACACACAAATATGACTTGCTTCTCATCCTCACAGACTAAACGCAAGGGGAATGAAACTACTATAAACTACTATACAAAACTACTATACAAAATAGAGAAGTAGTTATGTAGCATTTAAAGACTGAAGGGACCAAGAAAGCAAACTGGGAAAACAGCAGGGTGGGGTTGCAGAATGGTTAGCATCAACAAGCACTCAAGTTTCAAAAGAGAATTAAAGAATGAGAGGTAACAGTGCTTCATTAACATCCTCAATTCTAACCACACAAACTTATGTATTTATTACCACACATTCTATTCTTCCATAAATTTTATGAGGAGACCCAGTAACACAAGTTTTTAAGTCATTTACCATCTATTAAACTACTTCAAAAGAACATGCATTAAAACCTGTTGATAAAAATATGTACAAAAATGCCAAACTCATGACTTTCTGACCCATATCTAGCTAGAGTTTTGTGGTTATTTACCCAACTTCTTTTACTGAACAAATTCTACACTATGTGTAAGACTAAAATCTTGCTAAGATTTCATCCCTTTTTCTCACTTTCTATCACCCAAACAACTGTTTCTTCTCTCACTCATAATTTAACAGCTCTGTACTTTGTAATCTTCAAATAGATAAGTGGGCAAATCACTTCTAACTAGATGCAAAAAACTATCACTTCTTGGGGCACCTGGGTGGCTCAGTTGTTAAGCATCTGCCTTCGGCTTAGGTCATGATCCCAGGGTCCTGGGATGGAGCCCCACATCGGGCTCCCTGCTCCGCGGGGAGCCTGCTTCTCCCTCTCTCACTCCCGCTGCTTGTGTTCCCTGTGTCTCTCTCTGTCAAATAAATAAAATCTTTAAAAAAAAAAACAAAAAAACAAAAAACTACCACTTCTTAACTTTGCACTTCTGCTCAAATGCTCTGCAGGTATCCTCTTCTTTCTGCAGGCCCAGTTACCATATTTTCCCAGACGAAGGCCAACCCTGATTCTATCCTAGGATAGGAAAATTCACATATCCTTAGAATTTAAACTCAACAGTTATTAACATAGTATGTTGTAAGACATGTGTATAAAGAAGGTGTAGTAATGGAAAAAGTATACGTATATCATCTGCTGTCATACCTCATTATATACCTTCATACAATTTTATAGATGAAAAAATTTCAGAGCTCATTTAGTCCGTATCTCTCATTTTAAAGGACAGTGAATAGTCCTGTAATAATTTTGTGACTAGTCTAAATTCACAGGGCAAAGAACCAGAGTCAGATTTTTTTATTTTTCAGTTCAGTACTTGTCCTACTTATACTACCTACATCTTCTGATTGCTATTTAAAACATTCTATGAATTTTAATTCTATCACATTTTTTACTTCTTTTTGAAAATACAAAGAAATCTAAAAATTATATAATTACTCGAACTGCAGTTTAAACCACTCAGTATTCCCTCATAAAGTATTCTAAAATTCAGCTTAATTAAAAAACAAAAAAAAAAGAGCAGATTCATCTTCACAGTAGTTTGTATTTTTAACTATGTTAAGGTAGGGTAAGAAAATATTTATACATTAAAAGAGACAAGTTTAAGAGAAGAGACTTTTGGTATCAAATCCTAAAGAGAGGCTGATAATTTCATCTTTTTTTTGAAAACCTCTTTAAGAAATATAACAATCTTAAGTATACAAACACTACTGAGGTTAAATTGATTTTTAAATTCCATTGTCCTAGAATCTGGGGAGGGGAAAATTGTTACTCAAAATTTATTGTCCTTATTTACCTGTCTCTTTTTTTTTTTTTTAAGATTTTATTTACTTACTTGAGAGAGTGAGAGAGAGAAAAGCAAGAGAGAGAGGAAGGTCAGAGGGAGAAGCAGAAACCCCTCTGAGTCGGAAGCCCAATGTGGGACTCGATCCTGGAACTCCAGGATCATGACCTGAGCTGAAGGCAGATGCCCAACTGACTGAGCCACACAGGTGCCCATTTAACCTGTTCCTTTTAATTTGAAAATATGTGCTTAAAAGGATCTATAAGCTTATAATCGCACAGGCAATTAGTTAACCAGTATTTCTTTATTTTGGAAATACTACTACTACAACTTTTACTCATTTAAATAATCTCTACACCCAACGTGGGGTTTGAACTCATGACCCCGAGATCAAGAGTCACATGCTCTTCTTACTGAGCCAGTCAGATGTCTCCATTACTGACAACTTTTTAAAAATTGTCTTACCTTGGTTGAAAGTACTTTAAATGTGCTCTGTTCTGGGATTATAGGATGAAGAAGTCTCAGTTGCAAATTGTAATCCTCTCCAGAAGAAAGTTTCACCAAAGCAGACAACTAATGAATACAAAATTGGCAGCACATTTTTATAAATTTATATAATGAAAGGTAAAATACTTAAACTGAATATAATTGCAGAACTTCAATACTGCTGCAGATTATTTTAAACACTTTATATGGAATATCAGATTTAAGAAATTCAAAATAATCCTTTTTTTCCTACTTGGTTTCCTTTACATGGATTCTCACATACATAATTAAATAAGCAGAAAATAGTATGTTTCAAACACATATATAACATTTAAATCTCTAGAAAACTCAAGATATAAGAGCAAAACAATACAATATGTAACAAAAGCAAGGAGTCATATGCAAAACATCTACTTCTACCACTAACTTAAATATCATTGAAGTTTTCTACTAAATGCTAAGAAATCAAGTTATTACAAGTCACACTAATTTAATGTGGTTAGTAAATTCTAAGACATATAAATCACACAACAAATAAGCAGACCTTTTTCACAAAGTATACCACACAAATGTAACCAAATCACATATCTTACTAATGTCTTTTATATTTGTCAACCAAGTTCTGCTTTGAATTTCAAATCTAAAGAAAAAGAAAATAATGCACATCTAGCTATAACCTACAGTATGAATACTTTTGTCTCAAAATTTAAAATCATTCAAGCTGAAAAGCCATGCTTCAGATTTTCATCAGCATTTTCCACATCTCAGGAAGAAATGATGTATCTGATCAACTGCTATAGATTATTCTGCAATATACTATATTTGCAAATAAAAATATTTAATCTCAAAATAAAAAATAGTTCAAAGACTGTAATAACCTCTTTTTCTGAAAATTCCACATTTACATTATTCTTCTGAACATTCTTGATCATAAGTGTAATGATTACTTGAGATTCTGTTTGATACCAGTCATACCTATTGAAAAAGAAAAAAAACCACCTCAGAACATCTAATTTTCTTAGTTGTTGCTTCTTTATGTTTTGTCAAGATAAAAGCTACAATCTGATAAACAACAAGAGCTCCACCTTGAGGAACAAATAAGCAAAGCAGATGGTGATTCACAGAAACAATTTTATAGAACTAATTTTCTTTGACCTGCACTAATGGAAAAGAACAGTAGAGTATGATGCCTCAAACCTTTCCAGTAGACTTAAATACTTACACGATTTTCCGGGTTCTGACTTGTATCTCTAATATTGTTGTGCTGAAGCTAATGTTAAAGATGAAATTTACTCTTAACAGCTAACCATTATTATATACCATTAATAGCTTTACATTTTCATTTCAACCTAATACTCAGAAAAAGCACTTCTATCCCTCTTTTACAGATGAAAAATAAGCCCAGATGGGTGAAGCAATCAGCCAGTCAGTGGCAGGTGTTACACTGGACCCATGTCGGCTGGACTCCACACTCCAAAATCTCTTAACTGAAGTTGGAGCAAAGAGCCCCGAACACAGGGAGCAGAAGCAAATGAGCTAAAATTAAAATAACTTAAAATTTAACTCATCCTGCCAGGCACAACATTAAATACAGTATCTTCCTTCACTCTCAAGGTACATGGGAAAACTAATGTGCCTAGAGATTCTAATTATGTGTATCTTTCCCACAGAAGGCTCTAGAAATGTAGGGATCCTCACTTTCAAATTAGACTATATTAGATTATAAACTCCATGAGGCACAGCAGTTTATCTATCCTGCCACTATTATATTCCTAGAACTAAGCACAGTGCCTGGTACACAGTACCAGTATTAAATCAATGTTCGATTATTTTATGCTCCAAACATCTTAATTATTATTTGATGTTTGTATTCTACTCCTGCTGCTGCCACCAAGCTAGTCAAAGTTCCTCATCTACTTGGTACTTGGGAGAGTCATCCTAAATCTCCCCAGAAGAAGCATGAATAGATTGTTTTGTTTTAACATTTCCAAACCATTTTAGGTAATTAAAATGCACCTTGATTAAAGAAATGAACTAAGAGTCTCAAAGTTTCCCTCTGAAATTCAGTGAGGATGCAAAGCTCCCGATCAATGCCTTGTGTTTCTTTCTGTTACAGTCCTAAGAATACAAGTTGTACACATGGCTGATGAACAATTAAAAATAAATTCAAATACCTGCTAGACGCTTAATTCATTACTGTAACTGCTGCCCTGAGCAACAGTCCCTTTCAACTCATGCAGAATCACTCTATGAAAAATTTACTCTAAAATATAAAAGGCAGGTAGTTACAATTCTGTCAAGCCTACTACTAATTTATTTACCTGTGTAATAACAACTGGAAGAGGCTCTCGTCATACATGTAAAGGTGACATAATATGGAACCAGATGAAGCATGTTTAAAATAGAGAATTGATTTGAATTTAACTAAACACTAAAATCAATCAGTAAACAGCCTTAGAATTAGTTTTCCCAGGCTAAACAAATTTCTAAAAAAAACTAAGAAACACTGAACATCACAGGGTAAGGACTTGCTTACTTTTAAACAAAAGGATTTTTCCCTTTAGGCGTATTTATCATGCATTGTCTTATGAAAAACAAACACTTACTTGATTTTTGACTGATGAGTCCTCTGGGATGCACACTGATTTGGCAAGTTGCAAGAGAAAGATTTTTACAAATTAGTTCACAAACTGTATATTAAAACGCATGTATTATTAATTTACCCAGTGCTATGGTTACTTTGATATGGAATAACTATGTGAAAATGTCCCTCAAAGACAAAGCATACCTGAATTCATAATTGTTAAATAATACTAGTCATCACGAAATATTAGAATATTCAACATTTTTATAATTTTAGGAGTTAAAATTTCAAAAAAGATTTTTCTTCTAAAATAAAAGCGTAAGGGGAAAGGAAGGAAAAATAAGATGAAAACAGAGAGGGAGACAAACTATAGAGACTCCTAACTACAGGAAACAAACTGAGGGTTGCTGGAGGGGAGGTGGGTGGAGGGATGGGGTAACTGGGTGATGGACATTAAGGAGAGCACTTGATGGAATGAGCACTGGATGTCACATGCAACTGATGAATCACTAAATTCTACCTCTGAAACTAATAATAAACTATATGTTAATTAAATCGAATTGAAGTAAAAAAAATAATAAAAAATAAAAATAAAAACCATAAAACCCAAAAAACTTTCTGAAGGTATGACTAGAAAAGGTTACATTTAAATGTCCAGTTCCAAGGCTAACTCTCTAAACCAAAAACAATATTTAAAAAAACATAGAAAAAAAACAACGCACATTTTTTTAGAAAGAGTATAACCTTCAGGCTTAGCAGTGGCATCAAACACTGCTCTGGAATATATGAAGGAACATTTCCATGGTGCCTTCCAGATAACAGCTTACACTCTGTTTATGGTCTCTCAGCAACAAACATTCTACACTGCCCATCAAGAAACAAACTGATTCTTGACCAATCAATACTTCCCTAAACTCTATGTGTGGCAGTTAAGACTACATAAATCTAAAGAACTTGCCCTGGGTCATAAGTGACCTCTAAGTTGTCCCTAAATGATAGGGAAGAGATGGGGTTTAGAGGAAGAAAATAAAACCCCTCTACACAGATTTGAGTCTAACTCAGAATTACTCTCCAGTGTTAACTATTTAGAAATACCTGAATCTAGGTGATACCAAGTAGAGATAATGACTAGAACATATTATTCCTGTTCACCTTGGTACAAAGATTAAACTAGTGTGAACCACAGCAGTGACAAAATGCACTGTGGCTAAACAGCTGTTTGTGTTACCAAAGTATAATCCAAATGCTATTTTGTTGTTTTCAGGGCTAGTTCCAATCCCAAATATGATACTGTAAGACCTAAACAAAAATACCAGCAGGTGAAGAAAGCCAACTTTTATTTATTTAAAGATTTTTATTTATTTATTTTGAGAAAGCTAGCGAGAGTGAGCAGGGGGAGGAGCAGAGGGAGAGGGACAAGCAGACTGCACGCTACGTGCAGAGCCCAACAGGGGACTGAATTTCACGACGCTGAGATCATCACCTGAGCCTAAATCGAGAGTCGGACACTTAACTTAGCCACCCAGGTGCCCCGAAAGAAGCCAACTTTTAATACTTCCCTCATCCATCACCCTTAGGAATACGGACAAGCCTTTGAGGTACAGGAATAACCAGACAGGGCTCAATTCTGGTGATGTTCCAAACTTCAATCACTACATATACACATATCTGACCTGATGCTCACAACCTGAAGGAGATTAGCTCTATTAGGCCCAGTTTACACATGAAGAAAGCCCAGAGAATAAAAGACTTTCTCAATGTCACAATGTAATTCTGGAAGACAGAAATGTAAATCTTCCTTCAGACATGAAGAGACCCAAGTGGGTTAAGTAACCGCCAACAGAATTAAGACTACACACACATCTCCTGACTCGTCATTTCATTTACTGACTACACTGCTGATTATCGCTGCTAAAAACCACTAGCCATTATGTAACTGTGTGTTATATATAAACCTAAGTGGTTAGAAACAAAAAAATCAACTTTCAACTCCACCATAAATTTTAGTAACTGAAAAGACTTGGAAATCTTCATATCCAAAACAATAAATGTGAAACTGAATCAGACAGATAAACATTTCCAAATTTTACTTAACTTTTGTGTTCTCAGTACACCACAATAAACTCTGAAAGTGCTTTCTAGGCAGCATCTGTTTAACCTAAATGTGATGACTTTCAGCAAGGAAAAGACAAAAAACAACCACCCTGACCATACTAAAATATGCCAAATCAACTTGATCACACATGAAACAAGCCCAATAATTTTCATGACTATAAACCTCTATATCTATTTCACCAAAAACGGTATTATTGCAGTTGCTAGAAGGAAAGTATTTACATGGAATTGCCTAAGATCTAAGTAAAAGGTCATTCGGAGTCCTGTCTCAAATATATGGCAAAATTATAATTAAGTAAGAACATGAATAAAAATTTTGTACTTACCACCTCAGATTGTGATCCTATTAAAAACATAAAAAGAAAACATTTCCATTTAACAGTACATTTACAGGCAGTCACATACATGACTTCTATAGCACAAACATACTGATTGATTACATAAGCCAATTTTCCACACATTTCAAATTTTAAAAAGTGGTTTAATTTTGCATCCTAGAGTCACTGTAGACTTTTAGTAATTTCTTACCGGTAACACAACTGCAAAACAAATCCATCCAAATCTCCCTTTCAACATAACAAAACCTTGGAAATCCCTATCTAAGGGAACATACACTATTTAAATTTATGATTTATAAAGTTATAAAGTTAAAAACACATTTGTTTAAATCCAAAAATGTCAAAAATTTATTTCTTTGTTAAGTGAAAGACATGAGAAACCTATATACTTACCATTCTGGGCCTCTTGACACCTTTTAATCCAGACAGTGAAATCAGGATCTGTACCTAGAAAAAACAAACTGACTGTAACATCACTCACTCATCAGCACCATCTAACATATTCATTCAACAAATACTTACTGAATACCTACTATGTTCCAAACAGTGTTTTAGGCAATGGGGATTCAGCAGTAAATTAAAACAAAAATACTTGTCCTAACAGGATTTATAGTAACCATAATGCTACAGCTATAAGTACACGAATACTTTTAACATTTAGACATTCATCCTGAAGAATTTTAATTAAAAAAAAAAACATGGTTTTAGCCACAGTCAACCTTACTGGTTCCCAGATACAAATAATCTACATTTCCCCTTACTTCTCTCCTGTTAAAGGAGCTTCCTCTCACACAACAAAATCAGACCTGAATTAGATACCCAACATACTATCAGTTAGTGTGGGATAGAAGCCTGGTACCAGACAGCTAGACCAAGGTCTAGAAGCTTCTTCTGACCCCAGATTTGTTCTCTAATGCAGCTACCCACTTTTTCTATCTACTCTTCTCTCAGTAGCTTTTCCTGTTACCATGCCATTCCTACCAACACCAAAAAACACCTCTGTACTTTGCGCAGTTCTGTTTGTCTCCAGATTCCACAGCAGCCAAGAGACTACAGATGGTGAACTATATATTTAGAGATAGCAATGTAAACATGTACATAAGCAAATTATTAATTTCTAAAGACTCAGGACAATGATAATCCAAACAGTGCAGGGTCTAATCCAATATAATGTTAAAAATTATTAAAAGTGGGGGGTTGGGTGGCTCAGTCGTTAAGCACCTGCCTTCGGCTCAGATCATGATCCCAGGGTTCTGGGATTGAGCCCTGCATCCAGCTCCCTGTTCAGCGGGAAGCCTGTTTCTCCCTCTCCCACTCCCCCTGCTTGTGTTCCCTCTCTCACTGTGTCTCTGTCAAATAAATAAATAAAATCTTTAAAAAAAATTATTAAAAGTACTCTAAATAAAAGTTTGCCAACTCAAATTGCAGGCAAGATTATTCTGAAAAATAAAAATTTCTTAAAATGGAATTTTCTAGTACACTGATTTATAAATAAAATTCAAACTGTATAGGCCTTAATACCTAGGCACATATACACACACACTCATTCTAGTGGGGGTAATAATTATATCAAAATCCTAGATTTGAATATCAGTAAATAAAACCAAGCTTCCTACCATACCAAAGGAAAAAAAGGTAATATTTTGAGTTGTAAATTTTTACCCTGTTAATAAGGGAACCCTAACAGTTTAACATAAATTTTCCTTAGAATTAAAAGACAAATTTGTTTTCAAATTAAAATATCCGTAAAAGCAATTTTACCAAAAAACAGACACCTTCATTTGAGGCGGACTCTGAAATAATCCTGAGATAAAAATCAATGGCAGTAAGATATTAATAAATGAAACAATTTAGGTGATGAACTTTCTATTGCTCTAAAAGAAATAAGGAATAGGGCTTAGAAATCTACAACATGGAATGATTTATGTCTCTTCCGGGTTTTCAAGTATGTGTCAAGGTACAGGATAATTGGACTCTTTAGAGTCTGCTAGAAGTGCAGATATGCTGGCTTGCTTACTAAATAGCCAAATTATTCATGTACCACTCACTACTCCTTCCTAATTTGTAGGTTCCAATTGCAAAGTTGGACCCACTGTCCTCTCTCAAGCAGGTATACAGCAGAAGAGCAAATATTCAAAGCAATACAAGAGTAAATTTTTAAAATAGAAAAACATACTCATGCAATACTTTAGAGCAGGGTTTCCCAACCTCAGCACTACTGCTATTTTGGACCAGCTACTTCTCTGTTGTGGGGGACAATTCTGTGCAATGTAGGATGTTTAGCAGTATCCCTGGCCTCTACTCACTAGGTATCCATAGCACATCCCCCATTCACCAGTCATGATAATCAAAAATCTCTTTAGACATTGCTAAATGTCCCTCAGGGAGCAGTATCATCTCCCACTGCTTAGGAACCACTGCTTTAGAGAACTGTGATAAAACTCTATCATTAGAGGGTGCCTGGGTGGCTCAGTCGTTAGGCGTCAGACCTTCGGCTCAGGTCATGATCCCGGGGTCCTGGGATCGAGCCCCAGACTGGGCTCCCTGCTCAGCGGGAAGCCTGTTTCTCCCTCTCCCACTCCCCCTGCCTGTGTTCCCTCTCTCACTGTGTTTCTCTCTGTCAAATAAATAAATAAAATCTTAAAAAAAAAAAAGATTGCTTTAAAAAAAAACACAGAAATAATGGATTAGTTTATTAACATACAATTCCAATACTTACTATCTAATTTCTGTCCTCCTATAAAAGTTTCTAAAGCAGCAGCATAGTTTTTTTCATGGTATTCACATATCCTGCATGAGTATATTAAAAACAAATACCACACACACATGAGATCATGCAAAAAGGATTTCTAAATTAAATATCCTAGTACTCTCTATTGGTAAAAAAATAATTTATTTTAAATATATGTTAATAAGCCCAGAGATTTTCTAATATACTGTAACATTAAATATAATTCTCATTAAAACCCAATTTTGGAACTCATTTCAAAAAGAATTTCTTGATTTAACTGTGCATACTTACTCCAAAATATAGTTATGCTAAGAAACCAAAGAAGTTTCTTAAGAATAAAATTACACTTATCAACAGAAACAAGCTGGGATGTAACGTACACAGATACAGGGCTTTCACAGCATTAAATGTAGCCTGTCCAGCCTGGTTAAATACCATAAATTCCAAACAATGAATGAAAAAGGGATTTGAAATCCATCAGTTTCTTCTTTTCCTTGTAATTACTTCAATATCACTATTTTAAAACACACTACAACAGAAGTATAAAATTATATTTAAAATTGAATCCTACCTCAGCTATAAAATGTATAAATACCGAATTTACTATTTACATAAAACTTAAAATTCATGCAATGAACTAAATACCTACTATCTATAGTCCAGACCCAATTAGAAGAGTAGTTATTGCATACCCTTTTCTCAGCATAGCAGTGGAATTATTTGGATTAAGTTCAAGAGATTTCTTTGCATCAGCAACAGCATCTACATACAAAAAAAAAAAAAAAAGAGAAAGAAAGAAAGAAAAGGGGGAGGGTTTAGTCAGTAATTTATGGATCCTAACAAGTTACATACAAAATTTGAATCAGCCCTACATTTTTAAGCTTTCAAGTTAGTGCAATGGACAAATGCTTTTAAATTAGGAAAAATTAATCCAAGATAAAATCCAAAAAAAATCACTCTCATACCTTATTAGCCTAATATTTAGCTTTCTTTTTAAAGCTATTCAGTCAATGTATAAAGCTTTGTCACAAAGTTCATCTAATTTTCTCATTAACATCATTTATGTAATATGACTCAAGATATTTAGTTTTCCCTACCTAGATTCTCTACCCAGAATAATTTAAAAGTTACACAATATACAAAAATTACAAACAAGAGCATTTCATTTAGTCTGTAAAACAATAAATGTGATGCTATTTTTTGTTAGTATATCCAATAACTACAAACGAAATCTGTATAAATTCTCCACCCACTGAAGGAAGAAGAGACACCCAGAACATTTGTATGGGTGTTGCTCAACATATTTGTCATGTTTCAGCTACTTCACACCTTGTGTGAAAGACCAATTTAAAAATCTTCAAAGATAATATCTACTATATTTGATTCACTGTATCTTGGGTAAAATTTATAACTTATAAGAAATAATATATTTAGTAAGAAAAGTTACCACAGTAATTCCCAAGAAGAATGTGACAATAAGCTCTTTGACAATAATATTGAGCATCATCTGGTTTCTGTTCCAAAGCCTTAATCAGCTCCTACAAATACAAACATGTTGAATGTCAATAAATGTTTTTAAAAGCAACTGAATTCTAATTAAACATGATTTTTAATCAAATAACCTATTATCATAAGCTATTTGGAGGAAAGATAACAGAATAAGCTTGGAGCTTTCCTTTGCAAGAGGATCAATATCACCCCTTCTCCAGTCTCTCCCCCAAAATCCACAATCTAATGTAGTATCTTAGCACAGTTCCTGGCCTATGGTAGAAACTCTAAATGGTAATTACTATCACCTCATTTATTCTGAAGAATTTATATACATTGACCATCAAAGATTTTCTCCCTCTAATTTGGAGAAGACTCGAAGATTTGAGATGCCTAGAAAATATGAAACCGTCCAATAAAAACAAACAAAAAACCTGGAAGTTGAATCTAGAGCTCAGGAAGGTTAACAGAATCAATAAAGACACAATGAAGTTTATCTAGCCCTCCCCCATCGTCTGTCAATAGCAGACAACCCTAAGAAATTACCGCATTCCGTTGAAAGCCCAGATACAGTACCTCATAGATAGCTACCATCAATATGAGATTAAAACTTTGTCACCCTGCGCAGTCACAGTATGTAAGTGGTAGCTGGAACAGTAATGATGCAAGAAATGACAGTACGATCAGTGAGGCCAAGAATAAATGTAGGCAAATAGGAATGCTTTGATTCTCTACCTAGTGCTCACACATTCTAGGGATTTGGTAGTTTTCTTAAAAGGTAAAATTACTTCAGGGGCGCCTGGGTGGCTGGCTCAGATGGTTAAGCATCTGCCTTCGGCCCAGGGTCCTGGGATTGAGCCCCACACAGGGCTCCCTGCTAGGCGGGAAGCCTGCTTCTCCCTCTCCCTCTGCTGTTCCCCTTGCTTGTGCTCTCTTGCTCTAATAAATAAATAAAATCTTAAAAAAAAAAAAGTAAAATTACTTCAATAACAACACGTCACTGATTTTGCTCTTAGCGTGATTCCCCAAAATCAAATTATACTATACTTGGTAATCATTTACCTAAAACGCAATATACCTAAAATCCAAACCACTTTTTACCTTCTTCACCTCTATCATCCTGATCCAAGCAATACTGAAAATCAGATCTTGTTTATGTCAATGGGCAAAAAACTCTCCAACGTCTTCGCAGCTGATGTCTTTGCAGCTAACTCCAAGCAAAAGCCCAAGTTCTTCCAGTGACCTTCAAGGCCCTCCCTGATACAACCCTCTGCTAGCTCTCTGACCTCATCTCTTACTACTCTTCCTCTTGCTCCTCTACTCTAGCCACAATGGCCTCCTTGCTGTTCTTCAAACACCTTAGGACTCTGTACCTGCTGCTCCCTCTCACCAGAAAGCTCTTCCCCACATGTGCTCAGAAGATCCATCCCATCACCTTAGTGACAAGACTGTCAAATCCAGGTCTGACTCCAAATCTGCTTTTTGAACACCAAACCACACTGCCTCTTGGTAACCTCTCTTTAATCCAAGTATCTTTCACACACCAATGACATTTGTATTAATATGTTTCCTAACATTTTGAAATTCCTAAGTTAAATGATACCATCTTGTACTTAAACTTTCAACAACTTTGAAAACCTCTGATAGCTTCTTACCTATCTACTCAAATACATCTTCAAACCAAATTTCTAGCCTCTCCTCAGCAAGAAAACAGGTATGAGTCAAAAAGCTACTATAAATTATACTAGGATCTGGTTCATCAATTTATAAGTATTTTTAAACATATATTATGTAACAAAGACAGGCCAGACACTGGGGGTACAAAGATAAATAAAATGGAATCAAGTAAAAACTGATTTTCAAACAACCAACTTACAAATGACCTTTAAAAACACAAACCAACTGTTGGTTAAGGAGAACCATTTATGTCACTCAGTTAAATAAACTAACCAATTCACTTATTGGGCTATTATTCCGAAAAGTTACCAAAAAAACAGAACACAAACTGAACACTATGACACACAAATATAAGTCATAAAACACAATAACCAGTTTATTTCGAATAAACAATATACAGTATAATAAAACCAGAAGAAGTGAAATTAAAACAATGATTTGGGTTGTATTAACGACATCAGACTTGTGGCATGTTTTGAGAGTTCTACTTTTTCTGTGACAACAGTTGCCCGATGCTAGAGCAAAGGGACTAGAGAGAGGTATCTCAAAGGCAAGGACTTCAGTGCCAACATTTGAATCAAAGGGGCAAAAGGCCATTATTTAATGCAGACTCACATAAAATGAGTTAGTTTATAGTCAAGCAACTTACAGTTCTCAAAAATAAAGAAACTCAATGAACTATGAAATATAATTACATTGAAATCTTTACCAAGATAATGGTGAAGAAAGTACCTTGATAATCCAAATCGGGGAAAAACTCCTTTTTAATGCACTGAAATTGTTTCAAACTTAGATCTCAGAAAATGAATTTCCAAATCTTTAAAGTTTTAGGATTTTTAAAAATGCTAGTCAACAAGTTAACCTGTTGTTAAGGTTAAAAGCAAAAGCGAACTGCTCAGACTGATCTAACTGCTGAAGGCATGTAGCTCTGGGTATCTCAGTTTGATTCCACTTCACATTTTCTTCTAGCCACAGCTAATTCCCAATCACAGATAATAAACAAGAGTACCAACCCCTCTCCCTTCCTAAACTACCTAGCACTGCTAAAGCTTGTTTGGAGCGCAGCCACTCGTATACCCTTACCATGTAAACCATGCAGAACAGGTAACACTGCATTTATGCTAACTCTCTCTGTTCTCAATGCTCTGAACAAAGCTATCAATGGTCAGCTACTTCAAAGTCAGCTATCAAACCTTTAATTATATTATACATCCCTAGACCTACCCCCTCCTCTAGAGGAAGACCTGATGCCTTGAACCCAGAGACTTGTCACTTCTCAACTATATAACCCTGAGCAAGTGAACCTCTTTGGTCTCAGCTTCCTTGTGAGTAAAATACAAATACCCACCTCAGTTGTTATAAGAATTATGGTAGGAGTCATTTCACATAACACATCTGAGTGCCTACCACATCGCAGGCACTACACGGAGAATGTGGTAAAAAAGACACACAAAACCCCTGCCACCTTGTTAGCTTACAATGGGGCTCAATTTAGATAGGGTGGTCCAAGAAAGTAAGTTTCTCCTAGGTGACATGTCAGCTGAAATCTCAAATGATGAGCATCTCCAAGCAAAATGAGATAGTACAAGAGAGTACATTTTAAGCAAAAGGAATTGCAAGTCCATAGGCCCTCCACAAGGACTGAGCTTGATACATTTCAAGTGACATTAAAAAAAAAAAAGACAGCGCTGGGGCACCTGGGTAGCTTAGCTGGTTAGGCCTCTGCCTTCAGCTCAGGTCATGATCCTGGGGTCCTGGGATCAAGTCCTGGATCAGACTCTGCTCAGCGGGTAGTCTGCTTCTCCCTCTGCCCCTCACCCTGTTTGTGCTCGCGCGCGCACTCTTCTGTCTCAAATAAATAAATAAGATCTTAAAAAAAAAAAAAAGTGTGGCTAGAACCTAGAGAGCAAAGAAGCTGCAAGATGCCTACCCTCAAGGGCCTCATCTTGTACCTTACATTACTTATCTTCATTACAGCCCTTTCAAATAGGTCCTACTTAGTCTCACTTCACAGATAGGAAATCTGATCCCGAGTGACATCAGGAATTTTCCTGAGGTTACAGAGTTATTATGAAACGACGGGACCCAAGCCCTCTGATTCCAGAGCCTGAGGGGTTTTTGTTTTTTTTTTTTTAAGTAAACTCTACCCTCAACATGGGGCTCAAACTCACAACCCCAAGATCAAGAGTTTCATGTTCTACCGAATGAGCCAGCCAGGTACCCCCAGAGCCTATGCTCTTAACCACTATTCATACTGGGCCTCAAAAGATTCTCGTAATTCACACGTCTTCTCTACCTAGTGAAATGAGACATCCTCTGTAAGGTTTTTCTGACTACCCTGGTTAGCCTCTACTCTGCTGTGTTCTTAGTGTACTTCATACACCACTCCATTAGAATATTTACCTTATATTTTAATAATCTGTTGACTTGTCTGTCTCTCCACTAGACTGCAAACTTCCTCAATGCAGTCTTTTCATCTTTAGATCCCTGGCTCTCAGTACAAAATTCACCACTAATATGTACTATTATATGCTAAATGAATGAAAAATGTGCATCAGCTTGATACAAACATTTCCCCTTTAATCCTAACTGGATGGTCTTGTAACATTTTAAGTGATGTATCATCAAGTGTCCTCAATTTCAAAATGACTAGTTGACTCTTGAACAATGACGTTGTGTTAGGGGCACTGACCCTCCCAGTCAAAAACCCAATCCAAGGGGTGCCTGGGTGGCTCAGTCGTTAAGCGTCTGCCTTCGGCTCGGGTCATGATCTCAGGGTCCTGGGATCGAGCCCCGCATCGGGCTCCCTGCTC